GACAACCTAAAAAACATGAGAACACATTTGCAAGTCATAGATCTTCAAAAGATTAATAGCTAGAACACAAATACAGCTCAAGCAAAAAAGGAACCTACAGTAAGATAATTTTCAAATGCAGTGGGCATAAACAAACATTTCTCATATGGTCACTGTTACACAAAAAAGTTCAACGTAGCTAATCATCAGGGAAATGCCAATAAAACTACAATGGGATATCTCCTCACTCCAAGCACATTATTATTAAAAGGACAAAATATAGCAAATATTTGCAAACACAGACAAGGAAGAGAACCCTTGCCTAGCATTAGTGGGAATGGTAATAAGTGCAGAAAATTGTGGAAAAGTTATGCAGGTCTTCAAAATAAGCAAAACTGAAACAACTACATGATTCAGTAATCCCATTAGTGGGTATATGCAAGAGAAATTAAAAGCATCTATCAACCCCATATCCATGTTTTTGCAACACTATTTATAATATCCAAGAAACAAAAACAACCCAAGTGTCCATACACTGATAGATGCATTAAGCACATTTTAATGCCTTCTCCTTCCCTTCTTCCATAACACTTAAATGCAACGTTTACTCAAGAACATCTAGAAATTTTGAAGATTTTTTCATTCTTTGTGAGTTTTTTTGGTCTGCGTTATTTCCAAATGCCTGTCTTGCAGCACATAACTCTTCCATTAGCCTGCTCAATTTTTCTGTTGAACCTCTCAATTGCATTTTAATTGTCTACGCTGAATCTTTACAGCTCCAATTTTTTTTGTTTTTTGTTTTTAAGATGTGTTTATTTTCATTGAAAAGGCAGATCAGATTTATGAAGAAAAGGAGAGGCAGAAAGAAAGATTTTCCATCCACTAGTTCACTCCCCAAATGGCCACAATGGCTGGAGCTGAGTCAATCTGAATCCAGAAGCCAGAGCTTCTTTTGTATCTCCCATGCAGGTGCAGGGTCCCAAGGCTTTGGGCCATCCTCTATTGCTTTCCCAGGCCACAAGCTGGGAGCTGGATGGGAAGTGGAGCAGCCGGGACATGAACCAGCACCCATATGGAATGCTAGTGCTTGCACAAACAAGCAGAACAAAACCAAACAGTAAGAATTTAGTCTTTGATCATGGCACTGGGCACATCTAATTAGTTTTTAATTATATCTTTCTGAATTTTGTGATATAGTGTGTCAAATTACTTCTAGTAAAAGCAAAGGACTTTTCATGGTGTGTGCTAAGAGTGTTAACTAAGAGTGTTTACTAAGATTGTGGGTTGTATCAGCCGTGTTGCCCTTGGTTCCATTTTGGCTCTTCAGTGTAGTGTCTTTAGCTACTTCAACGAGTCAGCCATGGTGACCTGCAGCTGTCTTAGGAGCCTAGGGTTTGAGTGAGATTGCACTACCACTTGGGATGTAGCTTCCTTGGTTGTTACAAATATGGGACATATGTGGATTTCTGTGGGTTACCTGAGGATGAAACCACTCCTGGGGACCCAGACGGAAGTGATGCAGCATGCCTGGTAATGAGGCAGAGTGCTTATCCATGACTGATTGCTGCCTGGCTGCTGAGCCAAGCGTGTGTGCCCAGAGCAGCTGTCAGTGGCTGGGCACTGCCTGAGTAACCTCTGAATTTCTGCAAGGGGGAGGGCCATCCTGTTCAGGGAGCTCTAGCCCAGCCACTTCCTGGGTCTAAGACAAAGTGAGAAAGGCAGAGCATTTGTCTCAGGGACACAGTGGGCTGAACTGAGCTGCTTGTAACGGGCTGGTCAGCTGCCTCTTGGAGCCACAATAGAGTGGGTTTGACTGCCCAATTGTTCCCTGTGGACTTTAGTAAATCAAGCCGCTCAAGAAGGTTATTTGACAATTGTGGAAAATGAGTGGCAAGATCCAAAGTTTGGGACTTTTGGGTTCTAATTATGTTTCTCATTTTGTTTTGGTTTAATTTTCATTTTGTGTTGTTTTTGTCTCTGTTGGCTATTAAAAGCAAGAAATATATTTTACCACTACATTAGTTTTCTAGGCCTGTAATAATGAAGTGATAGATGCTCCATTGTTCAACTTGAGTAATAAATAAAAGAAATTTATTTGGTCATGTCTCTTGAGATTAGGAGTCCACGGTCAAGGTGTCAGCAGGCTTGGTTTCTTCTGAGGCTACTGCTCTTTTGATCTGTCCCCACCCAGCCATTCCACGTGCATATGCAGCCTTGAAGTCTAGGCGCCTGAATTTTCTGTTCTTATAAGGACATCAGCTGGGGTACATCCTCACACATTTACCGTTTCACTTAAGACCCCTCATCCAAATAATGGCAACAATGTAATTCACATTAAACTAAGATAACCTACTGAGGGTTAGGGAATAAACACATGAAACTGTGAAAAATGTAATTGAGTTCATAGCAACAACTATGAGTCAGGCAATATGGAATCTTTTCATTGACATATCAGTGTCACACTTTGTAAAACACATTTTGCATCGCTGACAGACTGTCAACCACATAGTGACACAATGATATTTGTAATATAAAATCTTTATTTTACGCTTAGTAATACTACACTTTAGAAGCGTCTAGACTTACGATGTTTCAGAATATTCAACAGTTCATTCTACCTTGTTATATGTCATGTCACATGCAAGCCTTTCTTTTCTAATAATATATATTTTTAGTTTAGCAATTTTAACATTTTTGCATTTTCACTTCATATGTGAAATACTATTTTCCTTGAGTATAACAGTGGGTTATCAAAGAACACAGAAAGAAAACAGAATTTCAAAAATATATTTAAAATAATAATAATAGAAATATATCAAAACTTATAACATATAGCAAAAAAACTGTGCTGAGAGTAAACTTCATGGCAAGAAGGTTATCATCCAAAAATCACAAGGTTATAAAATGAGTAACATAATAACGCATCTCAAAAATATAGAATAAAAGAGAACAAGCCTCATTGAAGATTAGCAGAATGAAATAACAAAAATTATAAGACAAAACAAAAATGAAAATCTAAAAAATAGAAAAGATTAATTAAATGAGCCGCTGTTTTTTGAAAAGATAGACAAAATAGATAAGGCATTAGCCAAGCTAGCCGAGAAATAAAAAAAACTGTAATCAGCAAAACATAAATGAAAATAACAACATAGCAACTGAAATAATAATCATTAGGAGCAATTATGAACAAGCATACGGCAAACTGAAAAGGCTAGGAGAAATAATGAGATTTGTGAGCACATATCATTTAGCAAAATTAAATTATCAACACATTAAAAAAACGGAATAGATCAAAGCAAAATATGAGACTGATTCAATAATATACCTCAACCAGGAAAAGCTCAAGATCAGATGGCTTCATTGCTGAATTCTACAAAAATTTTAAGAAATAACAATAATTCATCATTACCTGAGAGGGAGAGAACCCTGCCAAACCCCCTCAATCCCTGAGAGGCACTAGTGTTTCACTCCTGTCTCAGAAACAAAAGTTCACTCAACTGTAACAACTTGTGCGTACTTTGTTTTCATAAGACCTGTAACAATGTTATCACTTTGAAATAGATTATTTAGCAGATGAAATTGTGATCATTTCACCAAGCAATTATATTTGCATAATTATTTGAAATTGTTCATCTATTACATGTTTGACCATCAAGCCTCCTGCCCCAACCACCTGCACACGAGCCACATCTTACTAAGAACAGCAAGCCCTCTGAAGACACACATCCTGTTCTCAACATTCTCTGATATTTAAAAAGCAAAGTTTGGGGCCCAACATGGTGCACTAGAGGCTAAAGTGCTTACCTTGAACATGCTCTGGATCCCATATGGGCACCAGTTCTAATCCCGGCAGTCCTGTTTCCCATCCAGCTCCCAGGCTTGTGGCCTGGGAAAGCAGTCCTTGGGATCCTGCCCCCACGTGGGAGACCTAGAAGAGGCTCCTGCCTCCTGGCTTTGGATCAGTGCATCTCCAGCAGTTGTGGTCACTTGGGGAGTGAATCAACTGACAGAAGATCTTCCTCTCTGTCTCTCCTCTTCTCTGTGTATCTGACTTTGCAATAAAAATAAATAAATAAATAAAATAAATAAATAAAGCAAATTTTGGCTCAGAATAAGTGTTTATTTAATATTTGCTAGCTAAATACACTACTTAATTTATACCATGCAAATATCTGAGACAAAAGGAGGTAGTAAATAATAAAGGAAAAACATTACTGGCAATGAATTAACATTTTAAAATGTGTCTGAAGAAAGGAAAAAATATTAACAAGAATAATTGAGATTTTATTTATTTGAGGGAAAGTAAGAAAAAACATTCCTCTACTAGTAGCTGTCAAGCAATGGAAATAAATTTCTTCCAATGAAAACAGCACACTCCAGTTCCAACAAACCTGTTCTGAAGTCTAAGCCGTAAAATACAGTAACAGTTCTGAACAGTCAGAACTCAGAACTTCAGGCTCCTAGTCTTAGGAACCAGGATCAAGAGAAAATCCCCAAAGTCCCTTTACCATACTTCCCTGAGACTCAAGTGACAAGAACTCAGAGACCTGAACAAGAAGAGCAATGCCTATGCAGATCCACCTTGGGAAAGACAAGAATCCCCCAAAATGAAAATCCCTACAACATTCAAGAGAGATTTATTAAATGAACAAACATATAACTGTCTCTAGGTTCACCAAGATCACTATCACTATGACAAAAAGCACCTTAGCACTTCTACATATGTGCTAGTCTGAAACTGCAAGCTTCACCATGTAAGTTGAGATGAGTCATCATTTAGCCTTTCTCAGAAAGTTAGAGAACAACAAATAAACTTACTTTATTGTCTGATGAAACTAAGGAATAATGCTCTTACATTGTCTTTACTTGTTAAATTATTTCTATAATCTGATTACTGAAATTGTTTCAGTCATTTACAATTTGCTTTCTTTCTTTTTTTTTTTTTTTTACTGTTCTCTGTGGCTTTATATATCATGTGTTCTGATTAGGTCTGTACATTTATAACAAACAAAACCTCTAGTTTAGAGCAGCATCCTCTTCAAAGTCTTAGTCAGCGCAACGTGAACATCTTTGTTCCTTAAACTGTAAATGAAAGGATTCATCATTGGTCCCACAATAGTATAGAATACTGTGGATACTTTATCTTGATCAAAAGACCCAGTCGGGGAAGGCTTAAGGTACATGAATGCTGATGCTCCGAAGAAAAGAGATACAGCAATTAAGTGGGAGCTACAGGTACTGAAGGCTTTGGATCTGCCATCTGTAGACTTGATACGCAGGATGCTAGAGAGGATCAGAGTGTACGAAATGAAAATAATGAAACTGGGTCCTATAACATTGACACCCACCACAACGAAAACCACCAGCTCATTGACGTAGGTGCTGGTGCAGGACAGCTGGAGGAGAGGAGGGATGTCACACATATAATGATTGATGATGTTGTCATCACAGAAGGTGAGTCTCAGCATACATGCAGTGTGGGCCACAGCACCCACAAACCCCATTGCATACACACCCACTGACAGCATGAAACAGACCTGATGGGACATGGTGACCTTGTAGAGCAGGGGCTTGCAGATGGCCACGTAGCGGTCATAAGCCATTGATGTCAAGATACAGCATTCATCAATCACAAAGAAAGCAAAGAAAAAGAGTTGAGTCATGCATTCAGCATAAGGGATGATGTTCTTTTTCACAAAACTCATCAACATTCTAGGTGTTATGACACAGGAATAGCAAAGATCAATGAAGGAAAGGTTGAATAGAAAGTAGTACATGGGAGTGTGCAGGTGAGAGTTCAGAACAATGAGAACAATCAAGCCCAGGTTCCCCACCACAGTGATGACATAGATTCCTAAGAACAGGAAGAAGAGGGGCAGCTGCAGCTCTGGCTGTTGTGTTAATCCAAGCAGGACAAACTCAGTCACTAAGGAATCATTTCCTGAGACCATTCTTCACATCTGTGAGAAAAGAAAAAAATACAAATATTAAAATGAGATCCACACGCTTCCTAACCCAAGATAACACATTGAGACTCAGAATGAGGGAACAAACTCAACCCACCCTTCTATACAAGTTTATTGCCCCATTTGATAAAACTGAGAGAATACATAAATAACCTACCCAGGAAGGCAAATTCTGCAGGATGGAGATTCAGAAGCCTTATGAGTGCTCTTAATTCTGCATCCACTCTGCTGTGCAAGTGTCTTGAGAATCTCTACGACCCATGTTGGATCAATGGTGATATTGATGGAGATGCTGAGGGACTCTTCACCTCCCACAGATGAAGTTTGAAATGAGTTGGCAGGGCACCTATAATCAAGACTCACCCTCTGTACCAGGAGGCACAGGCTGTGTAACCCTTCTCCCCTATTCTCACAGAGGGAAATGTGGCTCCGACAGTTTGTAGAGGTGAACATCACAGGGAGGGGATTTGTCCCTAATGTTGCTGTGATGGTTTTTTGTCAGGAGCACAGCCTCAGCCCCCATGGTTTCTAACTGTGTCTCTGAATACAGTATTCCCTCTTGAGTATCGGGATAATGTATCAGTTGCCAGTGCCAAAAAAAAAAAAAAATCACAATCCTAGGGTTTTTTTGAACTGGAACATCCTAGGGACCTGATTAGAAAGTGGAAGACCTCTGTTCTACTGAGTGCTCTGTTATTCCCTGGAGATCAGGCTCTGCAGTTCAGAAAAATTACCTACCTCCATTGGCAGCGTAACCTGGGATCATGGACCTAATGGAACTATTGATCAAGGCAAATGCCCAAATAAAAAAGCAGAATGAATTTTCCTGCACTCAGATTCCAGGTTACCAATCCCAACAAGAAATGAGAACAATCTGGAATATTTTCTTCAGTGATGTTTCAGGACCTAGAAAAATAAAGGCTCAACAAATATTTGATGCCAGACAATGTAACCATGGGCTCTGTTTTTGGTTAAAGTGCTGCACTTAACATGCAATCTTGTCAGCTTAATATCCCACCTCTCCAAGATACTTCTTGTACACACATCTTGGTGTTGCCAACGTCACCAAATATCCAGATAGTTCTGGCCATTTGCCCCAGTGAAGGTGGATTTAGCCCTAACAATGATGACATGTTTGTTGGCCTTCCTTTTCCAGGTGATATGAATAATGAAATTGGCATCTTAATGACCCCCCATTTATCTCCCAACTTCTCCCCATTTCCTCCCCAGGGTCTCCTGGAATTGGTGTAGGTTCTCATTTCAACATAATCAGAGTCAGGGTGAGTGTCTCCTTTCTAGAGATGCAACGGAGCAACTGGAGCAACATCCTCTGGCCTTGGACTATTTTGTGTCAACTGTCAAAGCCAAGAATCTCCCCCAGTGGTTTTGGTTGTCTTGCCCTCAGACCCAGAACCAGTGCCCTCTCTTCCTAAAGGCTTCCCTGAGCCGTTACAGTTCTGCAGCACAGTCAGATGAGCATCTCCCTGCTGGGCATTCTTAGTTGGTTCCATTCCCTTTGGACTCCAAAAGCACATCTGGTGTTCTCGGATTTGTTTTGGAGGAGTACAACACCCTGTCAGGGCTCACATGCATTTGGCCCACCCAGGACCATACCTCCTTCCTTCCTGTCCATTTGCAGAGCTCACTCAGCTGTGCAATGTCATCATGAATATACTTTCATTGGAAAAGCACTTACTCTCTCTGGCTCAGTTCCTTCTGTAACCTCAGTCCAAGGAACCCGTTCCACTCTGCAGAAACCCATGTCCCTTCTCCAGACCACTCACCACAGTGCTGTGCTGTGATTCCTTCTCCACAGGCACAATCCGTCCCTGCAGTGATCAACTCCAGAGGGCCTCCTAGACCTTCTCTCACGGACCTGGAAACTTCCATAAACAGTGACTTGCAGCCAGTGTGTGGTGGGGCAGCTGCAGGCCACTGGTTGGCAAGAAACCATGCCAGTTGGTAGCTTTTCAGAGGGGAATAGAAGCAATGGTGTCCTTTTGCACAACAGCCTGTGTTGTCAGGCTCTGGTAAACATGAAGGCCTGTCGATGAAATCATCTCGTGATTGCTGTATGGCCTGTGGCTTACTTGAATTCCATACTCTGGGACTTTGTAAAGTAAGAACCAGCTCAAGTATCTGCTAGCACACTAGGGCTTCTGTGGCCCAGTGCTCTCACCCACCCAGATGGGCACCTGCCTGAAGGGCATCGGTGCACAAGGTCTGGAGACAGCTTCAGCTTTTATTTCTAATCCATGAGAACCAGGTACAGTAGCTGAAACCCAAGCCAGTGTACCCTAGGATTCTTTGACTTCATACAAGTTCTTCCAAGAGACTTTCATGTCCTGGTTATTAACAACAAAAATAATATAATCATTGATTATGTAAAAGTATTTTTCTTCAAATAATCTAATGTTTAAAACACTTATTAAAAAGAAAACGGTTGAGTGTTGGGCACAGGAGGACAGAAGTAACTTGTAAATGGTTGACAGTGTTCTGGGCACCTCGTGGAAGGGAGGAGCACCCTTTGCAATGCATAGGTTAAAACTCCCATAGGGCAACAGTTTGTATCTACTGTGTATAGTGTAAAGTTGACTTACACTGCTGCTGTGCAGTGCTAGCTTTTCTTAATCAGGAAGAAGCAACCTCAGGGCCTGTTGAAGAGCATTGGATGATGGACTTGTATAAAATTGTCTAACTGAGAAGACACATTGTAAATATTTGTGATCTTTTACCATTTGGGGGTTACTTTTTCCCCCAGAGTTTAATCAGAACATTGAATTTTTTTTAAATAAACAGTTTTTAACTCAGGGTATTTTCTTCCCTAGAAACCCAATTCTAAACGGAAAAAGAACACACACACACACACACACACATACAACCACCATAAATAAAAGCCTACAAAAGTTAAAACAGCAAAGGGTAGTTTTTTTCAAGTTAAATTTTTAAGTTAAGTTTTAAGTTAAGGTTTTTTTTTAAGTTAAGAAAGGCTGTTGACGTATTTATTTATACTTTACCTGCTGCTAATTAGCTTTTTGCTAGCACATCCTGGGAGGCAGCCGTGAAAGCGCCAGTACTTAGTCCTCTCCACCTATGTGGAAGAAGCAGTCCTGAGCTCCTGGCTTTGGTTTGGCCAGTCTTGGCTGTTGTGGTCATTATGCAGTGGAACTGCAGAGGAGAACACTTCCTATCTGTCTCTAAGCATATCTGTGTGTGTGTTGGGCAGAGAGGTGTCCCTCTGATTTCCAAGTAGATAAAAATAAATATTCTATATGTATAGTTGTGCATGTGTAAACAACAAATTGAAACTTGCTCGTACGAAATAATTACCACCTGAAAGTAGTCTTCAGGAAGAAGAGAAGACTGTAATCCCTAGAAAAAGGACTGCCAAAAATAAGAAAGACAGAGGAAGACGGAGAGTGAGGAATTAAAAATGAAGGAAAGAAACCTGAGAGATGCTGTTCTAAAGAAATGGTAGAAAGTCTCACAAAGATGTATTTTACTTTAACGGATTTTTAATGTGCAATTCAATTACAAGCTTAGACTAGACTACACTCTGAAGGATTAGACGTCGGCTGAAAAACAGTGAACTTGTGCAATCATTCTTCATAAGAAATTACCAAAAATTCAGAGTAAAGCTGGACTGAGGTGTGGGCCTGAAATCAGGGAACAAAATAGAAATCCCTTTTTGTTTCTCCTACTGAAAAAGTCTATCCTACACAAAATAGGCAGATGTCACTAATATGATTCAGCTGAAGACTGAAAGGAACCAAGACTTACTATAAGAATGACTACACTTCACTCCTGGACTACAACTTAAGCAGAACAAGGCAGCCACATGGGATACATGAAAACAGAGAAAAAGTAAACTCCCCTTTACAGGTATTGGAAAAGACTCAGCTTTTTAAACATCTCATGCAAAAAGTAATGTTGCAGAGGAAAAGAACAGGTAAGAAAGGAAAAATCGGTTGTACTCATCCCTTCCTTGAGTGCAGAGTTCATTCAATCACAGCAAAAGTTAGAGCAGCAAATAGCTTTAGCCTCAGTCAGTCACTCCTCAAGATTTGGGTTTAAAGCAGAGAGAAAGAGGAGGTATGAAGATGGGAGGGACGGGGAGGGAAATGATGGATAATAAAAGTTTTCCCTCTTATGGCCTCTCAACAACCTATGAGAACTTTAAAAAAATATTGTTTTATTGGACCTCACCCTTTTCCAGTAGGCGTTACATTAGGAATAGGCAGTCAACATTTTAGACCTGATTTTTTATGCCTACAGAAAGATTGACAAGATGGTACAGGACGTTCCCATAGATCCCGCTATAACGTTTCCCTGATACTAACCCCTGACATTATAATAAACAAACAAACAATGCTTATGCAATGTTATTAATTACCTTGCTTTCTGTCTAATGTATTTCTTTGGAACCTGGATCAAATCTAGTCTGCTCTGAGTCCTTAGGAGTTTCTTGATTGTGAAAATTTCTCACAATTTGTCTTTGGGATGATCTTAAGAATTCTGAAAGGTAGTGAAAAACATTTTATAGGATGCTCCTTTACTAAATTTGATCTCTTTTTTTCGTGGTCACATTTACACTGACAGAATTTGAGCAGTGCTGGAAATTCTTTATAGTTCAGCATGCTCAGATGTAGGAATTAAGTAGGCTGTGGAAAGCAGGGAGCAAGTGTGAGGATCTTGTCTTCTCAAGGGCTGGTACTCTATCCTCATATGGCTACCCTTGATAACCTCGTCAGGGGCAGAGGGACTCCCAAGTTCTGACTGGCCAACTGCCTGAGAAAGGTTCACAAGACCTGTGTTTCGGCAGGGCTTTCAGGGGAGCCTTTGCAGTTGATTGAATGCTAATCTAACTATAAGGGGAAAGTTGACCACTTAAAAACCAACTGCCTGGAACTTTTAGGATTAACAATAAGACCTTGATAATTATGTTACAATGTTTCTGTGATGTTTTCTGTTTACAAGACCCGTAGATCTTTGTA